CGTGCCAGCCCTCGCAGCACTGCAGGATGGCAGTACTGACGGATGCCAGCCCTCGCAGCACTGCAGGACGGCAGTTCCCGCTTCTGCCAACACCTCTGCGGGCTGCGCTCCCCTCCTCTGCTGCAGCAGCTCAAAATGACCCGGCCAGGGAGCCCTGGCAGCAAGCCGACGCTGTCAGGAGTGCCAGGACAGTTTTGCTCCAGCTGACAGCAGGGGCAGGGGTGGGGAATGTTCTCCCCTTCTGGGGATGACTGTCCCCAGCGCTCCACACCTGCCACCTGGCTCCACACCAGGACAAGCCACCGAGCACCAGGCCCGGCTGTACCCACCCCCAGGACAGCTTCCAGCAGCACAACGTCACTGACACCTGGCCAACACATCCCCAAGGGCGACCAGGCCCTCCTTAACACGACACGTGGCTTTGAGCTGTGCTCACCCGAGAGGACGGGGGCTATAAAATTCTTTCAGGATGGCTCGGGTCCAAGATATCTCATGAAATTGCCTTTTGGAAAATCAGGTTGTTATTTGGGCAATTAAAGAAAGATCAGCACAACTTACAGCTTGAATGTGGCCCTGTGTAACGCAGAAGATCCTGGTTCGGCCAGCACAGTCCTGACAAGCGGGTTTTGCTGAGACGGCATTATGAGTTAAAATGAGTAAAACAAAGGAAGAGAAAAAATAAGCCATAAATAGAAGGAGAAAGAAAGCGAGATAGGGAAGGCAAGGCTGGGGCTCCGGGCAGAGGCTGAGGCAGTGCACACTCGAAGGAAGAGAGCTCATCTTAAGGAAACTGCAGCTGCAGAAAGTGCTCCTTGATCCTCAGGAGTTGGAGAAGCTCCAGCGAGGATTCTTGCCCTGCTTTCCCTTTTCACCTCTCTGGTCTGGCAGAGAGTTAGTGCTTAGGATGCAATGGCAGGGTTTGTTTCTTTTTTTAAATTTCCCTTACAAATAGAAGTTAACAGAAAGCAATGTCCATCCCAAGAAATCACCAGGATATTTCAAAGATTCACCCCATCCCCACCCCATATTTTGAGTAAAACCCCCCAACAAAAAAACCCCAACCAACCAAAAGGGGTTTTTTTGTTTCTAAGTCTTAAGAGGCTTTGAATGATTGTTCTGCGAGGTGCTATTAGGACCCTCCACGCCACACGCCTGAGTGTGTTCACAAAGAGCTGAGTCACTTTTGCACTCTTTGCATTTCAGGTTTTCTTCTTCCGCTGTAGTGTTCATCTCGCCATTATACCCCTCATGTCCGTTCTCGCTCATCTCCATTTGTAACTTCTGCCTTTCATCCTCCTCTTCCTCCTCTTCTTCCTCCTCTTCCTCCTCCTCCTCGTCTTTCACTTTATGAACAATGAAGAGGTGTCTGTTCAGAGAGATGTGAGAGGTGTAGCACAAGCCGCAGAACAAGCACTGGTAGGTGGAGCTGTCTGTCTTGTGCAGAGGTATGTGTTCCTGAAACTCAGTACTGACGTCTGTCGCAAAGCCGCATTTAGCGCATTTCCAATGCGCTTTCAGTTTTTTGGCCGGTGGAGCGTGTGAACCTGCAGCAGTCTCTGCCTGACCCAGCTCATCCGTTGCCATCCTCTTTGGAGATTTTGCCTTAAAAAAATAAGATTGAAATGTTACTTTCTTGTTCAAGCCCACAAAAGAATAAGTAAGTGCTAAATTCCACACGCGTATCTGAAGACACCTGACGGTGAACACACATTGGTATTTTGATACGAACTAAACAAAGCCATGCCTAGGGACTCTTGTTGCTTTGCCTTTCCTACCAGTACCCAAACACCTCACCCCAACATGCAGCATCTCAACTGCTGTCCTGTGACAGGAGATGGGAGACCTGGAAGGGGTTGGCTGGGCAGAAATGTGATGGAGAAACAGAGCGTGAACTCAGTGTGGGAAGGAGGAGCCCACACAGCAGGGACAGCAGAGGGACATGGGGTTGGTCATTAGCTCAGACAATGCTTCTCAGATTTAACTCTGAGCATTTTCCCCCTCCACTCAGGTTTTTTCTTTATGCCACCTCTCATTAACTCATCCCCTCTGTCTTATAATCCTGCAGCGTGTGTCTCCTCCCATGAGGCTGTCTCACTTTGCATATGTCCCTTCATGGGATTTTGTTAACTCCTTATCCAGCAGCATTGAGCAGTCTTTGTTTAGGACATAGCCTATAGGTTTGTATTTGCAGACCCAGCTGGAGCCACGTGAAGCCACCATCTGCCCCATTTAGCCGGGTGCCCTGGTACGTCAGCTCTGCCGGAGGAAGCAGGCACCAGCTCATGGACGTGAATTCCTGCATTACCCCAGGTTTCCATACGGCATAAATACAGAGGGGAGTCAGTCTTGGCTGTGATCTCCCAATGCCAGGGTACAGATGACTGATAAATTGCAGTGATATGGAAAATGTACGTCTATTTTTAAAGTAGATGGAGCAGAGAAGCCCAATCAGCCAACCCTCCACTCCAACCTAAAATAAAATTAATCGAACAGTTACATTTGCTGAAAAAAATTACACAGTCTACAGGAGAAATGCAGTTCTTGTGAGTAATAGATCTAATAAGTGTTTTGAAACAGAAAAGAAATCTTTTGTAACTAGCAGAAAAAACAAGGGAGAAAGAGGAAGAATGTACCAGGCTCATGAACAGAGTGTCAGGGGAAAAACAAGGATAATAACAATCCTAAGTTAGACCTGGTTACAAAGCAGAGTGAAAAAAAGGCCAGTAAAACACAGGGCCACAGGTTCAAGAGTATCTTGAAAAATACAAGATACGTTGCCCTGGTGCTGCTGCAGCTCAGCTGCGCTTTCACTTCTGATCCTGACACTGCCAGAGAGAAGCAACCTGGATGGAGTTGAGAGGAGATGAAGGAAATCTGCCGTATGGATGACAGGGCTTGACTGCCGCAAGGCTGCAGCGTGACATAACACCCCAAGTGAACAGCTATTCGCCAGGTATGTTTATTTGTCAATGAAAATATATCAGTTACTTCTGCTGTGTCTCTCTCTGGAGCTTTTGCTTTGGCCATCTGGGATAAGTCTGGGTTTTTGATGCCATGCATGAGGCTGATGTGATTCTCCAACATGAACGGTTGAGGAAATGTCTGATTTTCATCTGTGCAGTACCTTGGAAATACAAAAAACGAAGAAAACTTATTAGAGGAAATGCCCAGCTGTTCCTTTCCATCCAAACAGCTCTTTGTTATGTGCCAAACCAATGGGTGTCATTGGAGACAGATGCTGGTGTGTAATGCACTGTTAGATTATCAAAATATGTAGCACATCATCATTTTAATAATAAAACATTACCCCCAACAGAAATCTAGAACAGTTCAGAATTTACCACAGTAAGCACGAATGAGAATGAAAGTAGGGTGCGTCTTATTTACAGTACAGTCCTAAAAAAATACAGGGACCAGTGCAGATCAGGCCTGCTGTGATACATGCCACACAAGCACAAGATAAAGAATCAAAATGGAAAATACACGGGAGAAAAACGACTCTCAGATGAGAGCTGCGCTCAGAGGGACCTCATGACTTGTGTAACACCAAGGAGGCCTATAGCAGAACCAGATTCTAGACGCAGTGTTCCCAAGCACCAGCGCAGCATCCCATCCACAAGACCATGTGTATCATAATGCATAACGCACTTAAAATTGCCACAAAACCGCTGAACCTCTCATTTTAATAACAATAACCTAGGCAGAAGCACTCATGAATGCATAATTTATAACTACTCATGTTAAAACTTGGGAGTTTTTCTTGATTTCTCTTGAATCTTGGTAGATTCTAGGGCTGCCAGAGAACATGGTTGACATTTCAAAAGGAGATGTGATGGGGATGTGGCATACGTTAACATTTGCTCCCAGATGACCGAGGTCTACTGAAAATAAGCGCCAGGTCTTGCAGACACATAAACCACCCCCTTGCAGCACGGTGAAGTGCAGAGAGGTCTCCGTTAGCAATTGGGAAACCCAAAATTGACTTTGTACTCTTTCTGCTGCCTCCCGGTGTGGCATGGGGAAGGTCCATCAGCTACTCATCCACCCCAGCAAAGAGGAAAGTAACACCAGACGTCTCTGAAATGCACAAATTGCAGTTGAAATGTAGGCAGCAAGGGATGAAAAACAACAAGAGAGGAGATGAAGTGTCTCTGGGCAACAAAGACATCTTTTAAAAGGAGAGAAGATGATTCCTACTGATCTTCCAGTAACTAGACGGAAATTAAACCACAGTCAGTAATGATGTGAAAATGCAGACGTGTTCATTGAATGCTTCTGGGTTTTTTTAAACAGGAACTGCTTAGATGATAAATCAATATTTAAGAATGATGGAATTTTTCTCCCTTGTGGAGGAAAGATGAGAGGTTATTAAGTGGTATTTATCAAAAATAAACATGTTGAAAATCAAGTGTTTCAGACAGTTTGCACTTAAGACTTGGAAAATAAGAGCAAATTCTCATAACAATAACCAAATTAATTATGAAAGAAAATACACAAAACACCAGAATATTTTGCAATTCACCCTAATTTAGAATTCTTTTCATGTGAGCAGGGAAAGATGTTTTCCTAACCTGAATTACTCCAGTGACAAGCTTGGCTGGAGTGTGTTCAAGCAAGTCCTCCATCACTGGTTTCTCCCTACAAATTGAAATGTTAGAAGCCAGAGGGAGAGCACCTACGAGACAGCGTGCTGGAGTCACAAAAATACTCATTTGTCAGATCAAGGACACATTTTACTCATGTTTCACATGGAAATCCACGAGAAGAGGGTGACATGAAGTTGAGACATCAAATCCCCTGAAGGGAGTAAGAGGTGAGACTGATACAAACTGCCTGGTGGGAAGAAGGAAAATGGACACCAGCAACCACAGGAAAAGAAAAGGAGCAGCAGAGATGTGATGGCTTAGGAAGTGCAGAAAGGAGCTGAGGGGGAATTCAAAGAGATGGGAGGATTTGAAAGCAACAGTCACGGAGGAGATTTTTAGAACAGTGCTCTGGACAAACTAAGAGGGATCAAAGGGGAGACTGAACAGAAGACCTCAGATTCAAACAAAGAGCAGCTGTTGGAGATGCTGGGACAAGGATTTCAAGGAAGAGGTTTCACTTGAAGAGTGCTGTGATTACAGTAAGTCTCCCACTACAGTGATTGAAGAGAGCACAACCACTGTCCAATTAAGACTTCATCAACAGATTTTGAGAAGGAGCAACCAGAAGCTTGAGAATTAGACACAACCTCCTTCATTTGAATTTCTAGCAGTGTCTTCTCTGCTGTAAACATGGCATGACTGTGGACCCTTGGGTGACGCTAAGGATCCACAACGGTGTGTCATTCGGAAAGTAATAGAAAAACCAGACTCCAGGGCCTGTACCAGCTCGTGCATACAGTAGGCTGGCATGTCCCAGGGTGTTTGGTATGTCTGTAGAAATCCTTCTTCCCAGCTAGGCCTTCTGTTCATTTTGATTCTGATACACTCCACTTTGAAAACAATCGATCAAGAGAGAATAGATTTATACACATCAGGTGCATATAACTCCTAAGACAATCGCCTACAAACTTAAAGCAGAATGAAACATACTGGGAGCCAACATTTCATCTTCTCCAGAGGTTCCAAGTCAGAGCACAGTTACAAGAAATGGAAATTTCAGAAGTCCTGACTGAAAAATGTGTCAGGAATGTATTGCTATCAGGCCCCAGTGGTGATGCCAACACTTTATCCATTTACTAAAAGCTATTGTGGCTCACTAGGCCGTCCAAAGAAATAAAGTACATGAGGGATTTACTCTTCAAGAGTACAGGCTTTTAATAACTTAAGTGCAGTGAAGTGAGAGCACACTCTTTGGAAACACTTGCAATAAACCAAAATTTTAGTTAAATAAAAAGAATTCCTCAACCTACATCACTGCAAACTTTCCTTCCAAAACAAATGTGCTTTAATTCTGTTTCAGAAGGATGTCTTGGAATGAGACCGGGAAGCAAGTCTGCATGGTCGCTTCATGTACAACTTATTCTGTAACAGTAGATGAGAATGCAGCAGCTTTGCAAGCACTGGGCTTTGTCCTGAACTGAGACTGTATTCACAGTTAAAATACATTCACCAGAAATTATTTTCATTCATTGCTGATTTACATAGCTCATCTGAAGTCTCCAAATCCATTTTCCAACTTTGAGGTGCGTCCTCCCAAGCAAATCCAGCAGGCTTAGTTCTCCATTGCCCTGCAGCTTGTGCAGTCAGTTCTGGCTGCGTAAAGTGGTGGCAAGATCTAGTGCCCTGGTTCTTTAGGATTTTACACACCTTTTGTACCATTTTTTCATGGGGAAGGCGTAAGAGCAATGCATGACTACACCAACAACAAAGCAGTGAAAGATTGGCCCAATATTTTATTGGCTGTTCCACAAGGATGCGCAAGATAATTCTCATCTTGCACCTGCAGATCTCAAATCAAACCTTACTCTAAGTTTCCAAAGGGCACTGTGCAGTCAAAAGCAAGGACTTATTTTAGCCACCAAGTCTCTCATGTTTGACATATTCTTCTTCTCACTCTCCCTCAGTAACTTACAGCCTGGAGTAGACAGGAGCAGACACAATCTGTTACAAAGCACTTCCAGACTTGAAGTGTCATTGTAATTGAAAACAAATTTGAAAAGTGGCTTTCAGTACGTACCAGCAAGTATAAACTTTCTTTGCTGTGTCGTGATTATTGCGGATGTGTCTACGTAGACTGTTGGAGGCATTAAATGAGCGTTCACACTGTCGACAGGGATATCTCTTCATAGACTAGCAGAAGAACAGAAATAGCTTTTAAAAACAGGGAAATGGAAGGCACTGCTGGATTCTAACATCCCCATGCTTGTCATCTGGACCTTACCTCTCAGGTGCAAAAAAACCCCCTCTTCCACTGATGATAAAGATCACTGAGATTTTAGGGTCCCACTTATGCTCAGCCCAACAGCTGGCTAATACTAGCACTGGTCTTATAAAAACCAGGACTAGCTAAAGCATGTACTTATTATTTTTTTTAAACAGGAATTGTTTAAAATTGTTTGAATTGTTTAACAGATGCTGCTTCTGTGGAAGGAGAAGGACCCTTTACAGAATTAATTCAGGGGAAGGTCCCTTCTGCCCCAGAAGAAGGCAGGACCCCACTGTGAAGTACAAGTCCACTTACCCTTCTCTCTGCTCATAATTCAGCACAATAAAGGGGCAAGATGTTAAAGAGCATCACACAGTCCCATGTGTTACCCATTTATGATATCTACATCCCCTTATGCAGCCCTGCCCTGTAACTGGCCTCTTCCTTTTCCTACAGTCCTTTGCATAAACTACATGCATTCCATTTAAAATCTTCTTAGACTTAATGAATACATATATGTATTGAACAGAAATATTTGGCAAATTTCCTACTTCTATAGAAGTCAAATACGAAAATCCATCATTCTCACCCTGCCCCCAGCTTCTTCTCTTGATACTTATCAAGTGGGACAACCCAGGACTCCCCAAGTCAAGCTAGAGGGAATCAAAGACAACGATCCAGATTTCCATAGCCTCTGGTCATGGGATTTGAGAAGGGTGACTCAGTATATCAAACAGGAAGTCCTGATGCCAAAGTGCTTAGAAATCTGGCTGCACAAAACATCTTGACCTGTGTTCTGCCAGTGAGCAAGGATTAGCTTGACAGAAATAGGTCAAGGCAACACAAGGCTTGAGCTGGATGAAACGAACAAAATTGAGATTTACAGTTGTTGCAATGATAGCTCTGCACACTGCTTGAGTCTGTAACTCTTCCCCAGTTAGATGTAGTGATATCTACCAAACAATACATCATGGAGAGAAACTGTATGTCCTTCTATAGCTTTGAGTGTAGATAGTTTAGATCAGACTGTTGAACCAGCAACTGGAGAAGACATGACTTTCCATCCACTTACCCAGATGAGCCAAAGAGGAAGCCTGCCATTAGATGCAGTGGGAGAAGGAACAGCAAAGAGGATGAGGTACGCAGGTGGTAGAGATCAAGGACAGAAAGTGTGCTTACAACAGGCTACCTCATTTTTTTTGTTCTGGCCCTGAGCTTAATCCTCAATGAGCTGGCAAACAGATTCTCGGTTTCTTTTTGCCCCCAATATTAAATAATTATCAGACTCTTTTGCTAAAAATACCTTATTACCTAGTTGAAGCGTTTTATCTGAGTCCTTACCCTTCCATGACTTCTCTTCATGTGGGACACATAGGCTTCCCGATCAGGGATCCACTGTGAACATTCCTTGCAAGTCCAACCAGTTCTTCTCAGTTTGGACTTGGACTCAGGATTGTGTCCTTCCACCCTCATATCCTTCCTTGGCAGAGGGGAGTGGGAAGTCCCGTTGGCTACCGACAGCTCCTTTGGTGGGGTATGAACCTGGTTCCTTGATGCCTTCTCAGACTTCTGTCGAAAGTTTGCGAGCTCCTCAGGATTTTGGGGGACTCCATGAACACCCTGGATAACAATAATAATGGAATCACACAAAACATTTGCATGTAATTCATAAGGGAGACCTTATAGCAGCCTTCCAGTGCTGAAAGGGGGCTACGGGAGAGATGGGGAGGCTCTTGATCAGAGAGTGGAGTGACAGGATGAGGGGTAATGGGTACAAGCTGAAAGAGGGGAGATTTAGACTGGATATTAGGAAGAAATGTTTCCCTGTGTGGGGGATGAGGCAGTGGCCCAGGTTGCCCAGAGAAGCTGTGGATGCCCCATCCCTGGAGGGGTTCAAGGCCAGGCTGGATGAGGCTTTGAGCAACCTGGGCTGGTGGGAGGTGTCCCTGCCCATGGCAGGGGGTGGGACTGGATGGTCTTGACCGTCCCTTCCAACCCAAACCATTCTGGGATTCTATGGTTCTGTATTATACAGCTTTATATTTATAAATAAATAACATTTATTATTTTACTAAATAATTTAAGTCTCCTCCCAAAACCAGTATGTTGATGTCTTGTTCCCACATATCTTCCCATTTCCCCTTGAAGCTGCCTGCAGTGTTTTCCCTAGCAAGAGATTTTTCCCAAGAAACATGAAGCTTCTGTTTATGTTTCCTGCATGACAACAGCAGCTCCCTGGTGCTGCCAGTTTAACATTTTGGATGAGCTCTTGAGACTCTTGGTTAAACAGGGAAGATGTAATGGAAGGGAAATGTTAATTGTCATTATTTTAAGAGCCTAAGCTCTAAAAACACAGAGCTTTGGTAAGCTCTGAATGAAATGTTTGCTGTTATCTTGGGGGCTCCAAAGCTGCTTCATCTTTGCTCAAGGGACGGGAAGAGCCAACCTCTCAGTTTCTCCAACCCTGCTTTCTTCAATTCCACACCGTCTATTGCTATTTACATTTTCAGGGTTCAAAACTTTGCTCCTGACAAATAAAAGCAAGCATAAAGCCACAAACCAGCCTTATAAGGAATATGTCTCCAGGCTCTTTGCTTGTTCAACAGGCCAAAATCCAAAGTCCCCCAAAAAGTTATTTTAACAAAGAAAATTGAACATAAGGAAAATAATCCAGAAATGAAGAGCTGTGGGAAAGCAAAAGCAAATAAAATAGCAACATACCAAAGAAACCTCAAGAAACTCCCCTAGGAACAACAAACATTCATCCACACAAAAGGATAATTTAGAGGTTTAATTGTGCACAGTAATTAATAACGGGTAAAGTTTCAACACACAAAGGCCCCAGGCCTCTGGAAGCCTTTCTGTGGGTTAGAGACCAAACATACTTCCAAACACAAGGTCTCATCTGAGAAGCCTGTGTGCGTGGCACCTGATCCAGCTGATGTCCGCAGAAGGTCTTTCATGCAACGGCAGGGCAACGCCAGCTGCTCCGCAGCATTGCCAGCTATTTAGGGTAATGAACACTTCACCTTTCTCCCCATCTGGAAACCTCAAGAATGGTTTCTGAGCAAAGAGCACATTAGAACCCATCACTCCATTTCTCCTGTTATTACACCACTGGGCGGAAAAAAAAAAAATAAAGGAGCACAGAAAAATGAACTGACTTCTCTGCAGAATCACTAACAGGAACCAGACCTTCTAACTCCTACTCTTACGCTTCAACAACGGGCAGCGAGGAAATATGAGAAGGCACACAGTTTCTTGAGTTTGCATGTAGGCACACATTAGCCAGCACCTCCTACAAACTCTATATTGCACAAAGGAGCAGGATCTGATAGGAGAGGAGATGGGTTAGTGCAATTTCTACCCTGCCACAGCCAGAAAGCATTCTTCAATTACCATCTCAAAGACCTGCTGATAGCCAGATACAGCCTCCGGGTTAAAAACCAAAAGTTTTGTAGTGGAGATGTCAGGGTGCTAGTGCACGAACTGCTGCAGGCATGTCCCTGGGGGTGGGATTTGCAAATGAGCCCCAACAAGTTGCATACCTCAACTCCAGCCCCTATTTTAGCATTGGGGTTGAATGTCTCTTTGAAGGTCCCAGCCTTAATCTCAACTCTATTTTCCTAGCTATAATACAGGAAGATTAGCAATCATCAACTTCACAGGAGGGCTTCAATTTTTAATTCATTACTGCATGCAAAGCATTTCCAGATTTGCAAGTTAAAGGCAAGGGGGGAGAAAGCAAATAAGTAGTTTTGAATGGTTTTTGCTTTTAGGAGTGAGCTATCAAATCTTCTTGCTTTTTAAGTGTAAGTATAAATAAAATAAAGTCACTGATTAAAATAATTGTCACTTTTTTTTCCAATCAAAGAGAAATAAGACTTTGCAAGCTCCTTCTTCAGAATGCCATCAAGAAAGCTTCCGAGAGGATTTCCACGGCAGTGTTGTTAGACACTGTACACAGAAACATACTGACTAAGACAACAGGAAAATGCGGCGCTCACACATTCATGGCATAATCAGATCTGCGAGTCCTCACACGCACCCCACTAGAAACCAGCACAAAAAATGGACAATAACCAGCTTTTCAGATGGATAAAAGAGAGATGAATGACAGTGAGATTACTGCAGTGCGTATTGTGGTATGCGCCGTTACTGAGGAAGGGCAGGTTCAAAGCACTCTCCAGACCACCGTTTCCACCAAGTTTTGGGGTTGCACCCAACTATCCATTTCAGACCATCTTCTGGAGCAGCCCGAGTGGTGCCAGTGTGGATGCACACAAGGCGGGGATCCCAGCTCCCAGAGTCTGGTACCTCCAGAGCAATCACTTCTGCCTCTGTCGCTCCCCTTCTGCCACCTGGTGTGGTTCCGCAGGCTCGCGGAGCAACCAGGAAAGCGGGGCGTTAAATGCTGTGCAGCCGAAAGGGGCCAAAGCTCTCTAGGTGAGCACCCAAAAGAGCAAGATTCAGCTTTCATCATATGAATTGAGTAACACTATGGGCAGAGAATACTTCTTGCTGTTTCCCAACCAAAGATAAAGCTCCTGCATCGGTTTAATCACTTCCTTGGGTTTAATATAGAAGAGTTAAAAACCGAAATGAATTACCCACAGAAAACAAGCCTCTGTCATAAAGTTAAATTACATATAGGTGAGAGGCACTGCCTGCATTATTAACACAAAATCCTCCACTGGCGTTTTCAGATAATACTGTAAATCACTGTAGTCTATTTTTCCACTAATATATTGCTCAAGAACCTTCCACTTCTTCAACCAATTTCCTCACATAGTTGATGTAACCTAGGAACTTAAAAATTAGGACCTCGTATCAGTAAGCGGTGGGAGTTACCTACCTTAACGTGCTGCATTAACTGCTGTTTCTGCATATACACCAGCTGACACTGTGGACATTTAAACACTCCCACTAACAACTTGTTGGTGTTCTGCTGGAAGTGCTCTTGGAGCAGCTTCTTCTTGTTAAAGACCGTCTCGCAAGAGCATTTGTAGATCACCCTGGAACAATTGAAAAAAAAGCAAACTCAGTCTCTCTTTGTTAGTTATCTTAAGAAGAAAGTGGAAAAAGTTATCTCAGCAACTTCAGGTGGTCTTCTGAGGAGGGCTGTGCTCTCAATGTATTGTCAACACACACCCACACGGACAGCTGAACCATTAACTCAACTGGGAAGAACAACAAAACGCCTCAGGCACATAACAGAGCTTTCTAAAAATAACTTTACTTCTATGCATATGCATAACTACCTCCGTGTGAATGTCGGTAAGTGCAGACAGATGGGAGCAGGCTCAAAGATATACTCACTACACATAAAGATATACTCGCTATACGTTACTTTCAATCCCACCTTTCCGCAGTCCCACCCTTAAAAAACACATTTTCGGCACTAGCTCAAAGCTTGCAAAGCTACAGGATGGAAAGAACAGGATGTTTCTCTCTTGTGATTTTTGGGGGCAATGCTGCAAGGCACAACTCTCCTCTTTCAAGTGCAAGATGCAGCAGTTGCCCTAGAGCCATCTACCAAGAGGTGCCACTGTGGGTCCTGCCAGACAAAAAGGCGACAATTAAGATCCTTTTAAAGATGTTCAGCTCTTCCCTGCTCAAAATCCTCTCCTTCTAGCCAAAAGACCACGTTTGTACCAAGGAGAGCACACTGCGGCTAGGAACAGACCTCTGCTGGCAGACAAAGCGCAGCTCTTCTCATGTGAGGACAGAAACCAAAAATAGAAAAAAAATTGTGAGGGCAAGGGGGAATCCTGGAGCTACCCAGCAAAGGAGAAGAAGAGATAAACCCAAAAATACTTACTGAGTAGTCTTGTGAGGCTCTGCTGGGTGCTGGCTGGTCATGTGAGCCGTGGTGCTGTCGGCCGACTTGAAGGCCATCGGGCAAAAAGAACACTTGTGGAAGACTTCGCAGTGTTTCTCGTGGATGTGCACTTTCAGCATGGCAAGGGTCATGAAGACAACTCCGCAATGGATGCACCTGGGGGATGCACAAAGAAAGAGCTGAGTTACAGCCACAGTATTGCTTCCAACACACACGCAAAGCAGCGCAGGGGGAGGCAAGCACCACGGCGTGTCCTCGTTTAGTCTCTTCAATAGCAATGTGGAAGGATCAAGGAGGAATACGATACAGGAATTCACAAGCTGAGTACATCTTACAACTGGATGTCAGCAACAAGCAAAAAAGATCTGTAAAAGAAGCCTTCAGAGATTAAAACAACACAGAAAGAAAAAAGGAAGATGTGGTTCAGCAAAATTCAGTTCAGCCCGTATCTGTGAAAGCCAATTCCACCGCAGGTACAAGTGATGAACTAAAGTAAAAGTATGTGATGAGATCTCCAAGTAGCAATAAGCAGCATAAATGCCAGTTAGTTCCCAGTACAAAATAACCAGAAAAAGAATATTCAGCTAGGAAATCTTCAGCAACCCTGTACAATTGCTTCTCATACTCCACTGAGCACTAGAAAATAATGACAGCAACAGCAAAGATACTGAAAACAGCAACAGAAACACCCAAGGAACTGATTAAGCTCATTAAAATCATTAAGACACAGGTGTTGCCCGGAAAGTGCTTGTCTGACAGCTGGGAGTATGCTCCGGGAGGAGAAGGAGGAAGAAGCAGAGGTTGTACGCGGAGCCAAAGGATTATTCTTGGCAGCTGAAAACATAGACCCAAGGCCAAGAGGAGAGCCAGGGTCACCCCACCGCTCCCAGTCTGCCTCTCCTCCCAATGCACGCCTGCGACAGGCCTTGCCTGATACTCCCCCAGGATAGCAACAGCCCGCAGCCGTGCTATATTTACCTTTAATACGCCTCCCGAGCACCCACCCACCTGCTGTGCTCCGGGTGCAGCCACACACCAGCGCTCCAAGGGCACATAAGGATGAGAGCCAGGGTCACCCCACCGCTCCCAGTCTGCCTCTCCTCCCAATGCACGCCTGCGACAGGCCTTGCCTGATACTCCCCCAGGATAGCAACAGCCCGCAGCCGTGCTATATTTACCTTTAATACGCCTCCCGAGCACCCACCCACCTGCTGTGCTCCGGGTGCAGCCACACACCAGCGCTCCAAGGGCACATAAGGATGCAGGCACCTGCCGTTGTCTGCCTCGGTCACACCAGCCGTGGGTTTTACCATCCCCATAGGAGCACCTATGCTGATCCGGGACCAGAATAGCCTCTCCTAAGAAGATTCAATCGAAATAACTAACAGTGGATCTCCGCTTAAGCCAGCGCTGAACGTACAGACCACTACAGCAGAGAAGGAGCTCGGCCAGGCAATCCGGGAGGCCAATGCTTGTGCGAGCAGAATGTGAGACACACAAAGGATAACTTCCTCTGGTTAGACTGGAGTGGAGCCACCTTATAAATATCTTTTTCCTTTTTTTGAGGGCTGCTGTTTGCCCACAGCGCTGTTAGGGTTTGTGTGTTCAGCAGCACCGCGGCACGGATGCTGTCATCGCAGATGGACCCCAGCTAGCGAGCAACTGGAAGAGTTCCAAGCCCATATCAAAAACAAACAAGCCGCTAGATTATCCTTCCCTCCGAACGAGCCTCCCGACAGAGTTTAGGAAACAAGTCCGCGCTTTGAAGTTACACTTCAAAAGATCGTTAGGCAGAAGCTAGCCCGAAGGAGCCAATCCTTCTCCCCACAAAATATACACAGAAATGTTGTCTTCTTGAATGTAGAGAGGGAAGTGGTGACAACAGCTGGTGTCATCTTTAGGGAAGCATGAAAATATTCTGCTCAGGTAGCTCTGCCTTCGAGCCTGATCCTCATTCACGTGAGACGTGGAAGACAGACTTTCCAGTGTATCAACACCAGGACCTGTGTTATTATGGAAGAATAAATTCCCAAGTGTAAAAGGAAGGACCAATGCTAATCCTGACCGTAAGGTTTGGCTGGTACATCCAGGAATATCCGACAGGCTTCTTCCACAAACACTCCCTGAACTAACAAGAGATGGTTCTGCATTACGTTCGGTTTCACTAAGTACTTCATATAGAATTAGGGATAAAATAAATAACTCAGGGTCCAAGAATCATCAGTTAATCTAATTTACAGTAAATGGAAGTTTAAACAACAGCCACTTTGTAATCAAGAATCCCAGTGCCAGAAGGATGAAGTTTGATAAAGTAAACTAATTAGCAGAACAAAGTGGATGGAGGATGTCAGAGGCTTGCCATGTAATTTCTGCAAATTGCAAATTCTGCTAACATCTCCCCAGCAGCACGGGGGGGAATAATTTGCAAGAGAAGACTCTTGGATAGCCTCAGGGTAAGGAGGAGTGGTGTAAAAGTCTTGGAAAGCCTCCTGTGAGAGAAGATAAAGCTACAAGATGTTGTCTTAACCCTCTGAACATTTCCTTTTGCAGTCACCTTCCAGCCCCTCAACTCTCCAGACGGCACCGAGCAGGAAAATGGGCCCCACATCAGTGGGGACAGCTGGAAGGTGCTCGAAAAAGGTGAAGAAGAGGTGACACCTGGAGCCAAGTGGAAAGGAGCATGATTGTTGATTTTAATTTTTAACTGCAGAAGGCCTTTCTCATTTTCAGTGTAATCAGTAGCCGCAACTAAAACCCAAATCAAACACCTTCCTCAAAACTTAATTGAAGGCACTGGGGTATAAGCAGAAAAGGAGACAGAACAAGGACTGATCACAAAAACAAAACAAGAAAAACAGGGATATAGTGAGATGCAGAAAAAGTCGAAATGATCCTGGGAAGGATTTAAAAGAACTTGTCGGCTTTTCAGCTCTGCAAGTAACAGAAGTGAAAGAAAAGAAGTCACTATGTGACCACAGGGCAGATGCCATGGATTATCTAGATACAGTTCTGCAACTAAAATTTGTTTCTGCTGTTTTCAACAACGCCAATGACATCAACCCTGCAGCAGAGACAGGAAGGATAACAAGGGTGGCACAGCCCGAAATTCACCTGTCTGGTGGACTCAGTTCTCAGAGATGAGCTTGAGCAGATGCAAATTAGAAAAGAAATTAAAGAAATTTAGCTTCTAGAGAAAAAAAAGAGCAGATATCAGCTAACGACATCTGTAGATGGATGGAAGCTCTTGTTGCTGACAAGGATTAAGGCATCATATTATTACTCTAATACATCTGGAATGAATAATGTTTTTAAAAAATGCCAGGTCATAGACTTGAAGAGTCAGGACCAAGCTCTGCCGTACACCGCAAGCCCATCAGCTGGAAAACAAGAGGAGAAAGGACTTGCACTGGATCACTCTTCAAAGGCAGAGCTTCCTGAGCTGCTTCCACCGCAGCAACGGCCAGTGTAACCCTGTGACACATTATCGATCGAGGCATCGATGGGGATGGGGACGCTGCACAAGCCGCTCCAAGCGATGGGGATTCTCAGGTGCCAGTGAAGTCCAAAGAACTGTGTCAAACCTGTGGTTAGTTTTCTGACATCTCCATTCCCATTTTTCCACCTCAGGGAAAACATTTTTTTTTTCCAGCTTTGTTCCTTCTCTCAGTTTAACTCATTTTCCAACAGCCCGAGTATCACAATCATTTAATTTTCAATGGAATTTAGCCTTTGCTGTGGGCTGTGCCCCCTCAAATCAGATCCCACATTAAAAAACCTTATCTGTATACAATTAAAATCAGAATCAGTTTGTTATGTGTCTCTTGTCTTCATGGTTGAAAGAAAAAGCCCTTGAAAACCTAAGTGTGATTTAAGAACAAACAACACTGTGGAGGCTTCCTGAATTTGCAGACATCTTAAAAATACAGCTCCAAGAGCAGAAATTGCCCTATTCATTTTTAAGTTAAAAGTATTTAATGGCAATTGGAGAAAAAACAGAACTTTAAAGAACCTTAAAAGTTCACCTATTCTCATCTCCCAAGCAAATCATCCATGTCTTAAGAGCTGTGCTCCAGCTGAGGTGATCTAAACATGCCAGGGAGGTGGAAAAATAATGTCTTTTATTAAAGCAATCAATTTGGTTGGAGAAAAGAAAACGCAGGCACATAAACACCAACGCATCCAGAGCCTTGGGAGCCTTCCTCCATCTGTCTCAGTTCACAAGAAGTGTTTGGAGAGTTGTAGTGGCATATAAGAAAATAATCTATGCTTTTCTTGTGAAGGCACACATCCCTCAGTCCATTATAACTGACATAAATATAAGTTAAAACCTTAAAAAGATTTAGAGGAATAAGATCTGCCATCTTTTTGCTGTAAATATCAATCCTGAGATGCCTGTCTGCAAAATTAATTCAGCACAAGCGTCTTTCAGCTTAAAGCTGCCTCAAAACAATTTCTGCTGTCAGAAACCTCCTCTTAAATCCATTTAGCAATTCCCCATTTCAAATGTGTTTTGTCATGCAAAAAAAACCATGCCAGGACCAGGCTACATCCTCTTTTGTTTCTGCTGTAAGGAAGACACATTTCCAAAGATCTAGATCCCGGTTTCCCATTCCCTCTCGCCATCTCAGCACAAACCCTCTGGAGTTGCACAGACCTGAATCCAACTTTGCGGGAATAATGCAGGCAGTTCTCCTTGACGTGAGTTTGGAAATAGGCAGAGCGGCACACGGCTCCGCACTCTGGGCAGCAGTACGGAGACTTGTGAGCGTGGATCCTCTGGTGAGCGCAGTAACTGCACTGGTTGGGCAGCATCATCTGGCACACTTGACACGTCTGATGAAAGAAAGGTTACATTAGTTAGTTATTCCCTATTTCCTTTTTTCCCCTCCTAATTCACCCTAGAAAACTTTCAGGTTCAGAGGAAGCTCCAGCACATTCCTCTAGTATTTGCATTAACTCCACAAAGCTCTTTGGCAAGCCTCCTTATAATCTTTTTCTACAACCACCCTAACAGCTTCCACAATTAGCCATTCCCGATGATAGTATCCATTCCTAAACCATGTCCTTTGTGGTTTATTTCCTTTTATTTTCCCTAAAAAAGAAAACTAAAATCTTTCACCTTTTAGCTCTGAAGATGTTCTGCTTGGTCACTGCTTTCATTTCCACACTAGGGCACTTCAGAAGGAAAGCACTTTTCTCAACAAGCCCCTGCCCCGCACCAAAATCACCCCCCAAAAAAGCAGGAAAGCTCCATTATACCTCGAA